GACAGAATCTTAGGTTTCAGGTTTAGAGCTTAAGGTTTGGGGTCTAGATTCTTGGGGCGCATGGCTTTGAATTTAGGACTCAGGATTTGGGGTTGAGCTGGGCCAATGTTACATAAAGCATACCGCCCCTGGGTTCCCCTTAAAAAGCCTTAATTCAATCATCCTTCACTAGCCTTAAGTAAGGGGGAACCTGGAACATGGGAGTAGTAGGGGCTCGCATGAATAGACATACGTGCTGCATGTAAATAAAAACATACATAGCTTAACCTGCGGATCGGCGAGTCTACGTGCTGACAGCGGGTTTGGCAAAACACTCCCCGAATTGGGTAGTCTATTGCCGGATGTCTTCGGAGCTTGCTACGGCAAATTCCCAAGTAAAACATCCACTTTGGAGGTTGCTGAAAATGGACAGCCTCTGTAATTACTTGCCTTGACTGCAAGGCGCCCCATAGTTTTGACCACTGCACTGTTCGTTTGGATTTAGCACATCTCCAAATGCACCCGCACCAACCTTGCAAAGTGCGATAGACAGTTTCTGGGCGTTTTTTGCCCCTGGGTTCGGCGTTTGGGTTCAGGATCCAAAGTTTCATTTTAGGGCTTAGGGCCGAGGGTTTAGGCTGCACGCATGTGACAAGCGCAAGGCACCTTCTTCAGCAGCGGTAACTAAAACTGGAAAGAAGAACCATAATCTCTTCGCTCCAATAACTATCTCCACAGGTTATCTTGCCTGCATACTGCATGGCTAGCTGGTAAACGGGCGGGCGCACCTTGTATTCAGCATCGAAGACCTTCTTCATCTTCTGCCAGAAGCCCTCCTGCCACTTGAAGACCGTCCTGAGGATGCAAGGTGGGTGGTTCACATGCAGTCTCGTTCCATCAAGTCACGTTTCCAGACATGCCGTGGGCTTATACAGCGACAGAGGCCGTGGTATATCGAGTGCACAGTACCCCCAACTCCCATGAGCACTTCGCTGCAGAACGAACCGGTTCTGACTTGTGAAGCCCTGTGTCGAAGATTCGCCCATTTGTGCAGTTCCAATTATGGGTGGATGTCAAAATTATGGTCCCTTTTTGGGTACCCTAAATATTCGGTGCCGCATTCTACTAGGGACCCCAAAAGGGACCATAATTTTGACAACCACCCTCATGCGCAACCCTAAACCCGAAACCCTGAGAAGTCCACAGGCTGCAGGTCCTGACTGGATAAAATCATGAAACCCTGCCAAACCCCCTGGACCAGCCGAGGTGCTTCTTGGTCACCACGTAGGGCACTATCTTTGCCTCCGTCAGAGTTTGTACATTTCTGGCCGGCAGGATTTTTTCAGGAATGCCTGAACCCTAAACTCTTTGCCCTAAACTCTAAACCCCAAAGCCTGCTTAGAGCGTCGCGTTTAGCGCCCCGGGGCTCAGGAAGTTCCGGGTCCAGGAATCCCGGCCCAGCATTCTCGTGGTAAAGTTTAGGGTTCAGGGTATTAGGGTATAGAGGTTAGGGTTCAGGGTTTAGGGTTTACCCTTAACCCGGCTCAGGCTCTTTTATTACCAAACCCAAGAAGACCTACAAGCTCACAGTACTCCCTGCCCCCTAGTATTGAACCACCCACCCACCCTAATACTCAATTTTCCCGTTATGTGGTATATTGTAATCTCATGGGAATGTCTAATGTTAGGGGGCGGGGGGGGGGAGTTCGGGGGAAAGGAATATTCCCATGTAAACTTTACGAAGGCGCCTTGACACATTGTAGTTGTTCAACATACCCGTCCCTGCAATGACCATCAGTTAGGTTCCCTTTCTGTTTAGGATCCATGTACTAGGCTCCCCAGTAGCTGCTGAATAATAAGGGTTCCCCTGTTTCCTAATGTTCAGCTTTAATAAGGAGACCCCAAAATGAAAAAGAGAAAACGGGCACTACTGGGGTACCTAGCTTGAGGACCTAAACCCTAGACCCTAAACCCTACATGATAGTCTGAGGAAGTGTATTCCAAATCATGGTCCCTTCTTCACAAGGACCTGTACAACGACCCCCACATTCTAATTTGATTTGGAAGCCTTTTGGACTTTAGACAGGAAGTTGTACCATTCAAGGTTTGGTTGTAGGGCTCAAGGTCTAGGGTATCATATGAAGATTGCAGATGGCTGCTCCAAGGATGGGCTTAGCCCACAGTAGACTGAGATGCTCTTAACGCAGCTTACAGCATCATCGCCCTGGCAGTACTGGCGAATCAAATGATAAAGAGCCTGAAATCAAAATGGAAACTAATACAGAGTTCAAGGTTCAGGGCTTAGGATGGAACAAACACTTGGATAAGAACATGTAAAATCAAATGGACACCGGGTCCATACGGTGGTGTATATATATATATATACAGATATAGATATGTGTATGTCCAGAGTCTCGACATTCAAAACTAAGAGATCTCTTGAACGGAGCGCGTAGTAAATCTACAACGTCTTTCAACATTGAAATACTAGGTTAGCCCCTAAAACCAATTGAAAAATATTAGTGTACATGATCCCCTTTGAAAGCCAATAGGGGAAATATTAAATATCCCAGGGGC